GTTTATACATTTAAGAATCATGAAAACAAGCAAATGATTTTTTTTAAAGGAATTAGAATCTTTAGTTATAAAGAGAAAATCAACAATGATAGATTGTGAAAATTCCTGCAAAAGAAGATTTTATTTTAAAATATAAATTTTCTATCTTTGTACTAAAGAACTCGAATGAAATTTTCTAGTGTTTAAAAATCCTAAAAATTTGTTATAGATAAATTTTGAGGGCATAAAAATAATAAAATACGAATAGTTATTTAGTTGTAAACATATTAAGGAAGAAGAGAGAGTTCTCTTATACCTATTTTTGTAGAAAAATGCATGTAACTTTTATGAGTATTTTAAAATTTTTTAAAATAAAAAAAAAATTAACTACTTTTAAAGTATGGAAGTTTTTAGAAGAGGCAGAAAAATAAGTCATCAATTAAACAAAAAAGTACAAAAAAAACTTAGAAATTAATTGTAATGAAGATTTTGAGAACAATAGTCAATTTTTAAATGGTGTGGTTTGCACAAAGCTGAGGCCCTAAACAATCAAAGTAAGGCTCACCTTCAAATAATATATTGCTTCAGTACTTAAAACCTTTGTGATGGTCTGAAATTTCATTTTAATATCTAATTATAGAATTTAAAGCATACAAAATAGTGTAGAACGAGCAGATCTATGATCACTTGAAAAATTTGAAAATTGACAACCCAAAAAATGTATTACAATATGCAATATTTTCAATAATTGAAATTCATTTTCCCTTATGTCCATACATCTTGAGGTTCAAATGATTAATTTGAAGATTCTTTGTCGTCGAAACATCATCTTCTGAGAGCCTCACCCTTATTTTATTTTATTTTCTATTTTTAAATTATAATTATAAAGGAAAGCTTCAATATTAGAAAAGGAGAAAATAATGGACATAAATTTGAAAATTGACGTTCTAAAAAATGCATTACGAGATGCAACATTTCCAAGAATTGAAATTCATTTTTCCTTATGTCCATACATCTTGAGGTTCAGATGATCGATTTGAGGATTTTTGAGCTTCGAAACAACATCTTCTAGTGAGTTTTTGAGGTGCGCCTTAATTTCATTGTTTAGGACCTCACCCTTATAAAATCCAAAAAAATTATGGATTTATTTCTAATGTGCCTTTATATGTTTTTTATCATTTTGGAAAAGATTGAAAAATTTTTTGGCATGAATACTTATTTTTACATTTTGTCTTATTTTTTTTAATCAATTTTTTAAAATCAAGTTTTTTAAATTTTTTTTTAAAATCAATTTTTGGATTACTATGAATCTTCATTTTGGATGTCCTTTGTTTAATCAAGCTTTAATAAACTAATATCTTTTTGAAATTTTTATTTTTTTTATACACTTTTTGGACTGGCTGGGACATACCGGATAAGTCTATTGAATCCGCCGGTTTACCGGTTATTCGGACCAGCGCTTGGCTGATATACGAGGCTGTTTCGATTTTTGGAACACTGCCTCTGGCCACGGTCCATAATTTGGAATCATGCCACTAGTTATTCTTTCTTCTACTGCTACAGAATAAAGGGAAACTGAGAAAATTCTATCTAGCTATTGTCAAATAGCCACTATTTACCACTGCTTTCAACACAACTAGGGTTCCGAAAGCAATGAATCGCACTAGTATTCCTGGACAAGCCGAGGAAAATCGTAGTAGAATTTTGATAAGTGGTGTGGTATGGAGAACAAAGGTCTTCATTTTAGTAGAGAAGATCTTTTAGAACGGCAAGTGGTGGGGAATAAAAGGAAACTGACTATGTAACAGAACGGGGTTTTTGTGAAAGAAAAAAAAAAACCGTTTATTGTGGAGAAAGAGAGCCTTCTTGTAGATTATTATTATTATTTTTATTCTCATGGTGCATGGTAGAGATCTTGGATTCTCATGTCTATGCCTTGTTATTGTGATTTTCTTCCCAGTTTTTTTGCTCTGTATTTGTCTGTTGTTGGCTGTTTATAAGTTCGTAGCTGCCTCATTTTTTCATATTATGACATTGCAAGAATTTGACCCATCTTACTATCCACTCTAAACTCACATGTACACATACACAAATACATAATAGTTCTTTTCACCTTGCACAATTTAATTTGCTTATATGGTTTATGTTCTCTTATATTTTGCAGTTGTGTCCTCCAGAGAAAAGCATGAAACTCCTAGATCTCATGGCCGCATCTGTGACCCCGCTTGTGGCCTGGGCCAGGGCCGGCTTCTCTGACCCTGGTAGCGGCAGTGGCACCGGAAGCAGTGCTAGCGGTGCCTCTGGTGACGAGGGGATGGTGCGCGGTGGTGCAATAGGCATGTTCATGAAACTCGCAGATGCTCTGCGTAAAATAACATTAGTCAGACGTGAAGAAATACGCAACCATGCTGTCTCAACCCTATGCCGTGCTATCATCGAAGCTGATGAAGGCCTATTTTTCAGCCCCCAAGCTTGCTTACAGTGCTTCAACACTGTGGTTTTCGCAATGGTCGACGACTTGCTTGAAAAGGCCACAGAGAAGAAGTTTATGGAGGGCACTGTGGAGATGGCCATGGAAGTTTTAGTCGAGGTTTTTCTGAGACTTGTAGAGAGAATGGGAACTGTTAGTGGGTTTAGGACATTTTGGCTTGGTGTTCTGAGGAGGATGGACACTGGAATGAAGGCTGATGTTGGAGGAGGAAGTGTTAGAGAGAA